CTTTAAAGGTGGTCACATTGTTGTCTGCTTTGAAGTTAAATGAGGTTTTGTTATGTGCAGTGATAGGAGTTGAGTTCAGGCCTTTTGCCCTAGTGATTTTAGAAGTAGTTCTAAGTAGCTGCTAGTACACGGTGTGTAGGGGTGAGCTGCTGTCTTAAGTGGTGCTGCTGCTGTCAGCTGTTAGTCACATGTAGGCCACCAGCAGTCCAGCTGGCAGCAGTTGCAGGTCCCCTAGGTGTTAACATGGTTCAGCTGGTGGCCAGTCCAGTTCTCTGGTCTTCATGTGAGAGGTGGCGTGTGGGGGTATGAGCTGAGCCGGAACATGAGTCAGGAACTTGGAGGGTTTTGTAGGCCTGGGGGAAGTTCTCCAGCAATATACACGTGATGGTCTAGAGGGACAGCGGGTATGCTTTCCTGTCACACACAGCCTAGCCAGACACCATCAGTAACAGCTGTACTGCAGAAAGTACCTGCTGTGGATTATAACTGTGAATCTCTCCCCTGGCTTTAGCAGCCTTTAGGCCCTAACTGATTTGTGACACTCTGAAGGAAAGAGAGACATCCAGTGCTGGGTGGAAGGGCCAGTTCCATTGCTGGGAAAGGTAAGGTGGTTACAGAGAACAGTAATGGAAATAAGGGGTGTCTTCTTTTGTCTGTGTTCGGGTTTGATTCTAGTAATTCATCTATGCAGAAATTCCTGTCTAGAGGGTGTGTCTGCAGCTTTATAGCCAGTGAGGGGAGTCTGATGCAAGCAGGTAGGCTGACAATTAGAGATGATTTTGGATACACAAAAACGGGCTTGTGAAATTCGATATACAATATTTGCAATATATTCTATTATATACAATATATAATACTCCCTAGTGGCAAAGAGCTTGCAGGTTTACAGAGGGTTAGACCCATACCTTTCATCGGACCTCCACACTCGGCACTGTAGAGGATCGTCATTTGTTCAGTAGCTCGTGTAAACCTTCATATTCGTAGTATAAACTAGATACTAACTGGTTATAGTTGGCAAGCACCTTTGTGACGGAGCTAGTCTGTGTTTTTCTTATATGAGTATTTCTTTGTCCTGCTTTCTGAAACTATCACTGTTACCTGTTCTTGGAAATGGGATGCTTCATGGGGCAAACCCCCAGCCTTTCTGGATGTGAGAATTCTCCTGCTGTTCAGCGAACAGGGGCCGCATCACGTGTATGAATACAGGTTAGAGGTATTCTTTATTCCTCAAAGTGTTGGATTTGTTTTGTCTCCTTTGCAGAATGTCTCACCGGGTAAGAAATGTTTCTCTCTGGTGATCTTTGCGTGTGTTTTTGAGACGGGAGGAACTTTTTGCTATGACTTTGGATAGTGTGATTTGCACATTATTCATTTCCGCGTGTCTTGTCCTCATTTCCATGTTCTTTGCAAACACATGTTAATGAAACACAAATGAGTGAACTGAAATTTGAATGGGTAATATACTCTTTATGTTGTGCGTACAGCTGCCTTTACATATCAGAGTGGTTTCTATGGATTTTGTGACAGAAATCAGGAAAATTCAAAAAGATTTTTTTTTTCCTTAGAAAACATTACTTAACAGAAATTTGAACAATGACTTTGGAAAGTTCAGCTTTTTTTTCATGACAATGATACCAAAAGTGAATTTCATATTGTGAAAGTGTGAAATTATGAGAAATATTTCCATTATGACACCTAAACGTTTACAATATAATGTATCTGAAAGTAATCTCAATTTTACTGAGATTCTGGCTTGAATAACTACAATTATTCTGACTTGGAATGAAACTGTGAAATCTCTGGAGAAATACAAATTCTTGCTTGTGTTTTGTTTCAACACTCAGTGATATATAAGGACCAGTTCTCAGCTAAGACGCTGCAGCAGGGTACTGATGCTATCACAAAGTAGAAGAGCAGTGGTTGTTATCAGAAGCTTTGCTTAGTCTTTCAGTCTTTTATTTAAGAGTCAAAATAGTCCCCCCTCCTTGGTCTGAACACTGTTGTTTGCTTGTACTTCAGTTTGGGTATGATCTATCAATTTCTTTGTGTCCTCTTTTCCTGTGTTCTGAACTTCATGTGTACATTTCCGAGTATCCTCTGAACTTCAATGAAAGATGAGCAAAGCCTAACTCAGTGCCGTACTGAGAAGTCAGAGCCTCTCTGTTTAAACAGAGGAGAGGGCAGCCCAGAGGATCAGTATGTCACGGAATCTTATTTACAGGGACGGTGGGGAAGGGTTGTCTTAAGGATCCTGGTGGCCATTAGAACCGTACAGTCTCACAGCCTAGACAGTGAAAGGTTTGCATTGACTGTAACTGCTAAAAAAGAGACCCAGAGCTGTAGGATGTCACCGACTCCACTTTTAATAAAGCACAAACGCACGCAGATGTGTACAGACCGCGATCACAGAGCAGGGAGCAGGGCCTTTGGTTCTCCCTGTCTATTACCTCCCCCTCCCCAGCTCCCTCCTGTGTCTGATGGGAGGAGAGACCTTCCTAGGAGCTGTGCTTTCTGATGTTGCTCGCTAGGAGAAGGTCTTCACAGAGGAGCCTGTGTAGACAGGTACTCGGTATCATTAGTCAATCACAAGGATTTCTGTTTGTGATCTATAGTCTCACACCTTTTCAGATTATTCCCTTCATTTTTTCTTTTATTATTTCTGTGCTGTTGAATGTATTTGAAAGTTCTTATAAGGCTTTGGAAAGAATTCATGGATATATCTCTGGGGCAGTTATCTAGTTAGTAAGAAGTGGAAATTACCAGCAGTCTTTACAGGAAGGTGTTCTGGCTGAGGCTTCTAGCTCAGATTGCCAGACCTGCGAGATTCTTTTAAATATAAGTACTGTAGGTTGCTTGCCTATCTGAACCTGCTTTTGGCTCCTTGTGCTGATGAAACAGGTGGTTAGCTACAGAGAGGATGGGTGCTACTCTACTGGGGACATCTTGCTTTAGCTCACTGAGTAGAGCCCTGTGCTTTTGCAGCTTTAAAATTCTGGTCCTAGTGTTCAGCCTGCTGGATAAGGCTGTATTTTGTATGGTGATTGTGTCTGGGACCGTAGCTTATAGAGGCATCATAAACAGAATTATCTCACTAAAATCTTCTTCAGAACCTTCTATTGAGGCACAGGTGACAACGGATCCGGTTTATTGTCTGTTTGTGGAGAGGCCTCCTCTGGCTCCTCTGTAGTGGAATGCTGGAAATAATCCACTGTGTTCAGATCAGGTCTAAGTAAAATGATGTAGCATTTAGGGCTATAGTAGGTCCCCAAGATACACAGACAGGTTGTCAGAATGGTACCAATCTGAGTAGCAGACCTGAAGACTGTCGTCAGCGTGCCAAACATCGCAATGAAGAAGATCCAGGTGATGAAATAGGTTAGGACGGCAAATGTGATCCCCCTGGCCACGTTGTACTTCTTACCAGAAGTCTGTACCATGAACGTGCACAGGAGGCAGATGAAGGCTAAGCAGCCGTTGTAGCCGTGAATCAGGGCAAAGGCAACCCAGGACTTTGTGTTGCACACAAGCAGAACGGCAGTGGGCAGTGACTTGTAGTCAAGCAGCAGGTAGTCAGGGCCCAAGTGCAGATAGCAGAGACAGAGGAAGCACTCGGTGAGGAGGCACAAGGCAACAAGGAGCCAGGCCCTCCTCTGGGTCACCCAGGGCAAGCAGGTGGGGGCACAGTGGGGGAACTCTGTCACCAGGGCGATCTCGAGGGACTTGACGAAGAAGGTAGAGAAGCAACCGTTGAGGCACAGGGCGTAGACTATCTGCTGGATTACACAAAGGTTGTTACTGGGCTTCCCTATATAGAGACAGCAGCTGAGACACAGCAGCAGGAGTGTCAACAAGGCAAAGAGGTTCAGTTTGCCTCCGGAAGCCTGCACGAGGGGAGTCTCCAGGCTCTTTAGGAAGAGCACTGCTGTCAAACAAGTCAGGGATATGGTGATGGCCATCAACATTAGCAAGACAATGGTGACCGGCTCATTCCAGAAGAGGTATCTCTCGCTGCGGTCGTAGCATTCTGTGCTCCGGACAGGGGACCACTGATGCTTCAGGCAGGGAGTGCAGGTGGAGCTGTCTGCGAAGTAGCAGAGAGAAGTTGATGACCACCTCGCAGGGGAGTGCTGCTACCCTGCTGCAGGCGGTCCTTGAGGAGAGATCACAGGCGTGAAGTAGGGAGCTGGTTTGGGTGCTGCCTTGCCTGCTTCCTCCCCTTCCAAAGTGTACTGGATCCCCAAAGCTGATGATAGTTCAGTCTCTTTTCCTTCTACTTCTCCACCCTCCCCACAAAAGGATCCACATATTTCTTGACTCTGTTTCCCTTCCCCAGGAAGGATCACCAGCTTCCAAAAAATGCCAGAATTTCATCATATGCCTCTCTCCTACATGTGACCCCAGAATTTCATCATAGCCCTCTCTCCTACCTCTTGAGAGAAAACGTATGCATTGTCCTTACGCATTCTCTCTGGGATCAGCAGAGGAAGGTTCCCCACTGCAGATCTGTAGAGCAAGACTGAGCAATGCACAGCAGAACAGAAGGCAGACAGACAGTTAAAGCCATTGCATTTCTCAGACCTCACCTTCGGGGTTCCGGAAGGAGTTTTCTGGACAATCCGTACAGTCATAGCAGCAGAGTTGGAATCCTTTGATTTGTATGAATTGTCCTGGTTTACAGCGAACGAAGCACTCGGATGTAGGCCGCTAGGCAAAGGAAGAATGAATATTTCAGGAGAAGCACCGTATCACCAAACAAATCAGAAAAATTTGGCTATACTGTGCTGGACCCGACCTGTGTGGAGTCTTAAGCAGTGCTGGGACTACCTCCTGCTAGTTTCGCACAATGGAGACAGATTACATGTTTGCAGAGAAGCAAGATCTGGGTCCCACACAAATCTTGTAGGAGTAGCACGCAGCCTAAGAACTCCTTATGAGCAGTCCTGATGAAGCGGCAAAAAAGTTTACTTCATTTTGGGATCGTTTATGCTTTTGCCCCCCGTCTTTACCTTTTGATCTGCAGTGTGAAACTGAATCTGGGACTTATTGACGTACAAGGACTCTCCATAGTCGCCAACAGGCACATAAGTAAGGGTGCTGTTTTTCCATGACCAGAATATAAGTTTGTAGCCAGGGTTTGTGCCATGTGATTGATCAAACCTGAAACTTTGGCCGTTCAGCTCGAACGGGAGGGTATCCATGAAGTGCAGCAGCTGAGGAGAAAATGAAAATTGACAGCAAGTATTGGTACAGTTGATGTTGGACAAGGTCCTGTGCTGCCTGCTGTAGGCGACCCTGCTTTGGCAGGGGGGTTGGACTGGGTGACCCACAGAGGTCCCTGCCAACCCCTACCCTTCTGTGATTCTGTAATGCAGAAAGCCAAGGCGCAATGTGCTGGGGTAGGGCTTGGCTGGCTGCAGGAATTGCTGAGGTTGTATCGCTACCGGGGCGGGGGGCCGGAGCACCGTGCAGTGTTGCCCCGTCCGGCTGTGTGCCGCTCTGATGCGTAGAGTGGATGGAAAATGGCTGTTTGTCCCCCTGAGCTTCACTCACCTGCCAAGGTCTGACGGATGCTCTGGGACACGCTCGGTGGGTGCAGCCCAGCGCTCTGTGCAGTGCGTAAGCCACGCTGTAGGCTGCGAGGTACACGGGTTGTATTTGTGGACGGCTGAGCGTGGACGAGATGTCCTGCAGCGTGAGGTGGTCACAGTGTTTGCAGTGTGTGTCCGTAATGTCAGGGTTCATGAGGTGGTTGAATTCTCTAGACTCCTGGCAGAATTTATCCTGCTGGACAGAGGTGAAGAGGTCAGCAACGTATTTCTGGAAGCCAGGGACTGTGCCTACTTTCATAATAAAGCCTAAGACTGTCCCGATGTTCTGAATATTTGGGATGGAGGCAAGTGTGTTGGACAATATCCAGGCCTCAGTGCCAATCCAGACTTTCTTGCTCAGTCCCATCGTGATGCTGTATTCCATCAGGGCCTGGGCTGGCTGAACAAAGGCAAAAACAACAATGACATTGACGTCGGTCTTGTTAATGGATCTGACGACGTCTTCCAGTTGGATTTTGGCTGTGGGGTCTGCAAGGTCCGTAGGAATTAGCCTCTCGAACGCAATGCAGATGCTGTGATTTCTAGCTATGCTTGAAAAGAGCTCCTGGGCTCCTTGGCCGTATTCATCATCACTTCCAATGGTGGCAATCCAGTTCCATCCAAACTGGTTCAGTAGCAGGGCCACAGCTTCCACCAAGTTCTTGTCGCTGGGAACAGTACGGTAGAAGGATGGGTACAGCTCTGTGTTGCTGAGCTTCTCAGTGCTGGCTCTGTAGCTGACCTGAGAGGAGAAGAGAGAAAGGGGAAAGTTGAGGGAAGTTGTCGCAGTCCAGGTCACTCTCTACCTTCTTTGCTTAGTCTTGGTGCACTGGATTTTCAAAAGTGCTGGGTCAGGATAGAGGGAAGGAAGAATTCATCTAAAGGGATAGGTCTGTCATGGCTGCATTTACCAAGAGAACCATAAACTGGCCCCTGTCACTTGCCTCTGGTAGCACTGTCCCACATGGCGCTCTCCTTCCATTGCCCTTTGTCTCTGGCATCACAGCACCAGCTTTTACCATTAACGACAATGATAATTAGCTACACTCTACAAAGGGTGACACTCCCAAGATTCACTAACGTCTT